CCCCAAAACCCCAAAACCCCAAAACCCCGATCTAATAATTAACAACTTAAGCGTCGAAATAAGAATCTGATTAAATTAATCAATATTATATGGCCTGTCTAATTCTAGTAAAGGCTAAGAATATAATTTTAAATCAAACTGCTAAGGTTTCTTTTGCAACTCCTGCACTAAGTTCATACTCATTCATTGTAGCGTCATAACTTTAATAACCAAATCTGCTTCTACATCTTCTTACAATGTAACTGATAATAGCAAATACAACTAAAATTACAGCTTCCCATATTTAAACCTTTGCAAGTATGACTTAGTATTTATGTTGAGAATAAAATATCAAAAACTAAAGTATTGCTCCCTCAAGAATAAGCAATGTAAGTATTGCTATAATTGAAGAAATGATAAATGTGGAGAAAAAAGTCCAGATAAATGTAGATTTTGTGCTGAGCTCGTTTGCAAGTTTTTGCATTTCAACATTGTTTTGATCTAAGCCAACAGTAAAATGCAAAAATCTAGCTTTAAATTTCTCGTTAGTAAAAGCAAAGAACATGAAGATTATGATCATAGACACGATTATAATATGTACCCATAAATTACTGAAAAACCAAGAAAGAATATCTTCAATATTACCGAGACTATAATCAATTGTAAGGCCTGACTTGACACAATCATCATGACTTGTCAATATGATTAAGGGGAAACAGACTCCAGTAATTGCCAATTCGAGAAAAATACATAATAATATCAAAGTAAACTTTAAGCCCATTAGCATAGGCATGCTCATTATACTATTGAGAACAATGATTGCTGTAGCCCTAAATAAGTTAAGTATTATAAAGAAAGTGAATACTAGCCAATCTACTGCGATCATTGTAAAGGATTCAATAGTTTCTTAGAATGGTTTTTTTAAGCACTGTTTTCCTTCGGTTATTTTTTCATATTACTACTAAGTAGCTTTGTAAATTTGAATTGGAAGTAATTAGTATTTGTAAATTGTTTGTGTGCTATTATAGGTTCTGTTGATTACTTTTTCAGATACTATAGAGCAAACACTATCTGTAGACATCATTTCATCTGTAAATTCTCCTGTTTAACAGTAGATTTTATAGTTATATTTTCTATAGTATCCGTTTTCTAGCATTGGTGAAAATAATTTTAGGATCGTTGTAAAGAAAAAGAGAACAAGAAATATATTCTTTATTAAGCTAAAGCCTGTAGAGAAATTCACCATTTCAAATTAAACTTTTATAAAAATAGTATTATTTTAATCAAAAGATTTTTATTAAAATATACATTTTTAGATCTTTTGTAATTGAATATTTGATTTATTTAATTTATTTTTATTCAATTCTTATGTATAAATAAATCTTTGAGGGGTTTTGGGGTTTTGGGG